GGGGGACAAAAATTACGCTACAATACAATATAAAAATGGCCATCATTTGATTTACTTTCGCAAAATATATATCACTTCTTTTTTTATTTGGATCTCGGGGGTGAAATAAATATGAACTGGACATATTTTTGTAACATTCACCAAGTCAAACTCGTCCTAATTTTTTAATTATCTAAACATGTTGACTACTGCCTATATTTGGTCCAAGTTATTCAAAAACATAAAGAAGTGGAAATTATAATTTTAACGCATATAAATTACATCACATTAGGCAGGAAGGGTGTTTAGTGAGAGTGAGTGAGAGTGAGTGAGTGTGTGTGTGTGTGTGTGTGTGTGTGTGCGGATCCACATCTGGTTGTATATTATTTACCAGGTCCTTTCACAGTTTCTCTCAGCACCTTCTCAATGTCCTTAAAGACCTCAGGATCTTCTATGGTGGGACTGATCTGTGAATTTAAAATTAGATACATCCAAATTAGAAAGCTCTACTATCATTTTTTGACTGAAGCTGAAGATTTGCAGCTGTCCTTAATTAATTAGGAAAAAACCTTATAAAAAATTAGGGCTGCCCTCGACTAAAGATTTTTTTAGTCGACTAATCACACGTTTATATTAATAAACCATATCATTCATAATAATGAGCCTTTATTGCCTATAGCCTATCTGCGCTCAAGCGCACGCATAAAACTTTCCATAGTGCACCGGGCAGAAGTGATTATGAATGCGTCAGGGAAAAAAAACAGCAAGAAGACTGCCTTAACACCGCACCGGCGCCTCCAAGTGAACCGTCATGCAGTGAGTGCGCTACTATTCAGCTTCCACACATTTTTCTAGGTTAATGTTAAAACGAGCGGCCATGTAATGTTGCTGCTAATTACATGTTTCAGATGATAAGCCACATCTGAGGTCGATGTACGAAACAAACATTTGGATGTCCGATGTACTGTAATTACCACATAGACCAGCTGTTAATAATCTGCCCATCACAGACTTTTTTTCCTGCGAATAAGCTACTAATACAATTTTGATTGACTAAGCCTCTTCTCGTCGACTAACGGTTAGTCGACTATCTGACTGATAGTCCTATAAAAAATACCTTATAAGGTTTGTGGTTCACCAGGTTTGCGAGAGACGATCGTGGAATTTTTCCCGAGCGGGTTTTGGGAAGAGCTTTGACAAAGACAACCTTCTTAAAAGCTGCCACCGGCCCAATGGTGTCCCTCACCAATTTCACCATCTCGTTCACCAGCACATCCTCAATCTTCCGACAGTCTGCAAACAAACACGCACATAAACAAATAGACATCCTTATTTGTGTGTTTAAGGCACTTTATACACAATATGGACACTGGCATCCCTTCATTCAAGCCATCTGATCCCATGTTACCTGGTAACTGTTACTTAATGAAAACATAACAACCATAAACTATTACACATTCAAATTAACAAAGCATTAACACATACATTTTTCATACATTCTAATATGCTGATTTGGTTCTAAGTTATTATTGTTGCTTAGTTATTAATTATGGTTCTTATTATTACTAATGTTGAAAATGCTTTTTGCTGATTAGAGTGTTGTCAACATTAGTAATAATAAGAGCCGTTATTAATAACTAAGCAACAATAAAAGTTAGAACCAAATCAGCTTATTAGAATCATTTCTGAAAAATCATGTGACACTGAAGACTGGAGTAATGATGCTGTATTCCCCTTTTTCTTTGTGCATTCCTCACCATTTTTGAGCACACACAAAGCCAGCGGCACGTGTCCCTTCAGGGGGTCCTCCTGGCCCACCACAGCACAGTCCACCACAGCAGGGTGCAGCAGGACAGACTGAAGGACAAACACACACACAAGATATGGTTTCTTTGGTACAGCAATAACAAAGATGCTTGAGATGATTATTATTTGTGTCATGAGTGAGACACTCCCTCTCCAAGCACCTCTTCGAGGGCACCGGTGGACAGCCTGTGACCCGCCACGTTGATGACGTCATCGGACCGAGACATGATGTACAAGAAGTCCTCCTCATCCACAAAACCTGCATCCATGGTGTCATAGTAACCCTAGGAGGGAGTGCAATAAAAACACTTCAATACAATAAGAATAGATATTTGTGAGTTTACAGACACATTTTAAGTGACAGGATGAACGCAGCTGATAGCAGCTTCTTTCAACCACTAGACGGACCAAGTAAATGCACAAATCACAACTTGCCATGCAGTCATAAGCTCAGTCCATTTTTGTCATACAATAGACATTTCATAAGATGTCAATTATGATGATCAAACTATAAACATCCACAAACAAAGACATTTACCAAAACATTTCACTTGCACACCTTGTGCAAAATAAACATTAAATTATTGTACACTATCAGTCAAATAATTAAGTTTGTTTTCTGAAGTCTCTTATGCTCACCAAGGCGATATTTTATTGTGAAATATTATTACAATTTAAATAAATACACTGTTTTCTATTTTGTTTCTATTTCATTACATTTGTAAAAAAGCTGAATTTTCAGCAGCCATTACTCCAGTCACATTATGAGTAAAGTTCAGAAATCATCATTCTGACATATTCAGCTTGTTATATACCGACACTTGTAGTTGTATATATAATTCTTCACCCAAAGCTAGCAGACTGTATGACTTCCTAATACTCACTATGATAACATGTTCACTGTGGTTTTTTCTCCATTCTGTCACCGATGGAGTTTTGGTTCCTTGCCGCTGTCGCCTCTGGCTTGCTTAGTTGGGGACACTTCATTTCCATGAAGACTGGAGTAATGATGCTGAAAATTCAGCTTCGCCATCACAAGAATAAATAACATTTATACATTTTACAAAACATCATTTCAAATACATCAGTCAAACAAACACACACACACACACACATATATGTATATATGAAGTCTCTTGTATATATGTGGAGATATATAAACATGTTATATATGTATATATACAGTGGAGATCAAAATTAGAGAACAACCTACAATTTCGAGGTCACTGCTTAGTCCTATTTAAAGTTATTCTAACAGGAGTAGAAGGGCAGTTTTTTTAAGCATATTTCATGAGTTAAATATATTCTGGAGTACAGTATAAAAATCTCAAATTAGATATTTAAAAAAAACTCACTGTGATCACTGTTTTTCACAAAATAAAGGGTTTGAAGTGACTTGGTTATTTTGTAAAACACTGTTCTACTAGCATGGTATAGCCACAACTCAAATTCCTTCAAATTTTGAATGATGAAGATTATTTCTGAAAAAATCAAGTGTACATAAATTCTTCTCTAATTTTAATCTCCACTATGTGTGTGTGTGTGTATATATATATATATATATATATATATAT